AGCAATTGCTATATTGTTGATTTCTTTCACTCTTTCATTAGGGAGACTTCACTCATTGATTAAAAAAAACTAAAATGTTGGGAAATAATAAAATGGCTAGTGTGACCAAACATAGAACAATGGCAACCCAAAATACCTAGAGATCCTACTAAAAACAAAGAGAAAAGCAACTAAACAGGTTCTACCCGTACAGACACCGCAGCCTTGAGGTAACAACAATCCAAGTCATATCAACCACCTCAAAGGTGGTTAACTTAACCGTAGCCAATACCAGAATCTCCGGGTAAAGGTCCGTTTACTAATACTCCCTCCATCCCATTAGAAGGTTCCCACTTTCCTTTTTTGGACGTCCCGCTAGAAGGTTCACATTTCCATTTTAGGAAACAATTAACAATCTAAGTGACAAATTAATCATTAAATATTAAAAATGATACATTTATAACATCACAGTTATCAATACTAACTACATTATAATATATTAATATATACCTAATAAAATTATCTCAAAATATACGGGAAGTACTTTATTTAATTATAGCCTAAATAACCGTGCCGTTTTGCTATGGGAACCTTCCAACGGGACGGAGGTAGTAGTGTAGTACTAATGTTGTTTAAGTTTTAACAAATTTAAAATTTAAGAAAACAAAACCAAACCGATCACATTTTGGAGCCAGAACAACAGATGGTTTGGCTGGGCCCAAGTACCAGTTCCAGACTGTGTTCGAAACACACATCAACAGGTCTTTTACCTCACTGGTTCGAGACAGTTTTAGTTCCGGAATGAAGTGTACCCCTATCTACAAAACTGAACCTAAAGCTTAATAATTATCAAATATAATATTTCACAAGCATGAGAACTGCAGAGGAAAACAAAACTGCAGAAAGTAAACAGATGATCTGCAGAAAGGAAATCGCATATAATAACAAAATTTGTCTATCAATATGTTTACTAGAAACTGGAAGTACTTAATTTCAACAGAAAACTATGTGATAGCTTGGTTTTAAAAGGCACGAGGCGCCTTGAGGCGATTTCTTTGATTTACCCGAGGCGCGAGGCGCGAGGCGATGAGGCGCGCGCCTCACGGATCTCAGCCACATTTCTTTGGTTAAATATATTTTTAGTACTTTTACATAAAGCACTCTTCTCAAAAATACTTCAAACTATTAAACAATCTTAATAAACATCATATTTTGATTCATGTCATGTGATGTGACTAAGTGATACTGTTGGCTGTCACGCGCCTACCACAGCACCTTCCTCCTTTATCTTGGCTTGGGACAGGCATGATACAAAAAAAAAATGATCTTGTGACGGAGTTTTAATAAACATCACAAGAGAAACAAAATATTAATTACAGACAATAAGACAGAAGAAAGAAATATATGTTTAAAGGCATAATTGCCAAAAGTCAAGTCACAAAACTCAGTCTTAAAACTTCAAAACATAATTAGCTTATATAAAACTGTTAATAGTAATTTAAATAATTAATGTAATAAACTGTGATAAATTAATAGTCATTTTGTGATAAATTAAATAATTAACTTATAAAACTGTTAATATTAATTTAAATAATTAATGTAATAAACTGTGATAAATTAATAGTCATTCTGTGATAAATTAAATCATTAAGTTATATAAAAACTGTTAATAGTAATTTCAATAATTAATGTAATAAACTGTTATATAAAAAATTGTTAAAAAATGTTAATAATAATATCTATCAAAACTTATATATAGCGAAAGATAATACTACATATGTATCAGTTATCTAACTTTTTATTTAAATAAATTTAATATTTTTATAAATATAAGAACTTAAAATAAAAAAGTAAATAGCAGAAGATAAAAAAAAGACTTACCTCGCAGAAGTCGGAATAATACCAGCGCAAGACAGGAAGACAAAATGCAGAAGGGAATTGCAAGACCAGCGCAAGTCCATGAGGCGTCAAAGGCGCTCGTCTCTCAGAAGCGCAAAAGGCGCTCGCCTCTGAGACTCTGAGCCGCCTGGGTAAGTTAAAGGCGATAAACCCTTCGCCTGCAAGCGCCTAGCGCCTTTGCGTGCCTCAGGCGCGCTTTTTTAAACTAAGTGTGATAGGAATTATACATGAACTTAAGTTATATGATAGTATTATTTATATTAAGTAGCAACAATATGATGCTAATAATGTGCTTCATGCTAAACTGAAATCAGTTTACTAGGTGCTCAGTTTTATGATTACCTTAACATAGAAAAAGATGAAATTGACATATACTCTAGTTGCAAGCGACACTATGATATCAATTCCGAAAGAAAACTGAAATTCAAATTTGATCAACGTTCTAACTTTACTTTAGGGAAGTAAACAGTGCAAGTGAGACTAGGATATCACTTTCGATAGCTAACTGAAATTTAAAACTGATAATGCTTTTTTACTTTAGCTAGGGAAGTAATTGTGCTTGTGATCGGCTACTGAAATTTAAAACAGCATACCTAAACTTTTTGGGGGATTGGCTATATCAAACACGTCCTCATATAAACATTTTTATATCAATAAAATTTACTCCAAAATGCTAAAACCTTTATGTTTGTAATGTAGCTAAAGTCTTTAATTGCAGATTTTCTCAACATCTGCCAACAATGTCTAAATCTCCATTAAAACATGATAGATTTGTTGTATGGACCTGATAAGTTTGAACTCCAATGTTTACATATGATTTACATCATAAAGAAAATTCAGAAGACTTGAATGTGGGAGATCAAGAAGGTGTGGATAAATAATTCATTAAGTAGTCATGAAGCAAATACTTTTAGTGCAAATTAAACTAGGAATGCTAGTTAAAATCCAGAGAAGAAAATGGTTAAAATTAAGAGGGGCACTAGAGCTCAGCAGAAATCTAAATTTTTCAGCCATGAATAAAAGGGTGAGGATAGTGAATTGAAAACTAATGTAGTTAGTAGTCAGTAATCAAATTCTTTATTTTGACTTCTAAGGTGCTTTGATTAGAGGGCTATATAACTAGCTATGACTCCATAACCTGCATGCTAGACTTGCAGACAGTTTGCTTTTAAAGGAAAAATAACATTAAGTTGAAAAAATTAAGTGAGCATACAAGGAGGCATTGCCCATGCTCTTAGTATACTATTGAATTAATGTTATTATTGCATAATGCCATATACCTCATCTATTACAGTACACCAGTGATGTCGATAGCAGCGCTATAGCGTGCTATAGCGGAATAGCGTTGCGGCGGACATGGATGGCACTACGGGGAGGGCTCTAGCGTGGCGTTTGGGTGTAGCGGCCATAGCGCCTGCTATTGCAGTGGTGCGGAGAAGAAGAAGAAGAAGAAGAAGAAGAAGGCCGCTAACGCGGTGCGTTTTATGGTAAAGAAGTTACTGCACATTCTGGGAGGGATTTTAGCGTTTAATTTTTTAGCACAGACATAGAAGGGGTAAATTAGACTTTTAAAACAATATATTAACCTACTTAAAACCTTACACGTACGTAAAGGCTACTAAAAGCCCAAAACGAAGCCAGCTTTTGAAAATACTCAGTTGAACCTCTGCGATGACTTCTTCTCCAAGAACGACGATCATCTATTTCTGCTGCTCTGCAATGGCTTCTTCTCCAAGAACGACACATGCTGCCCTCCTCTGCCTTCAGTAGTACATTCTGCTGCAACATCTTCTTCCGCAACCTTTGCTGCAGACCTGCAGTCTTCTTTTCTTCTTCTTCTTCTCGTATGGAGTCTAGTCAGTCTACTCTCTTGTTTAAGCCCACAGGAGAACATCTTGACCCATAATTTGTCAAGGCTTAAACTCTTACACTAGAACCTTGTTTTTGACTTGATGTTTTGACTTAAGCTGTTTTAACTTTTAATTATTAATAGCATCGTATGTTTTGCTCATGAAACTAAAGAGTATTTCTAAGTAATTTAGGTGGGTGAACCATCTAGTTTCAGTAGTCTCTTTGCACTTTTGCAGACCTCAGAGTATTATTTTTTCATATGTATGTATTACATATGCTTCCAGTAAGTGTAAGTTACTTATCTATTATATTTGAAAGTACTCTAAATAGCGGTCATCCCGCTATACCGCTATAGCGTTTTTGGGGCTGCCCGCTACGCTCCGCTATCCGGGATTGACAACACTGCAGTACACCATTGCTAGTTTTATAAAATTTTGACTACTCTGTTATGAGCGATCAACCATAAGAATAGATTATCATTTTGAAATTTCTTTTTCAGTCTGGAAGGATATATAGCTAACACCAATCAGTGCTACTCCGGAAGTATATACTATATACTTATCCTAATTGATTCATATACTTTTTCAACAATAATAAATTAAAGTTCCAAAAATGAATGCATAATACAACACTGTCAAAATAATTCATATGTATTCTTAAGTACAGATTATTAAAAGTGATCTATACTTCAGCCTAAAGATCAGTCTAATAAAAGAACTACTAAAATGCTTTAAAATTAGTTCAACTTCTTAACCAAGTGCTAACTAATGACTTGGATACAATATATAAAACCTTTCATATATGAGGTATTTCAACCATGAGTTTGCAGCAACCACTTTATAGGTTAAGCAACTAATTTCAATTGACTAAATCTTTCTTCGTAGTACTTTTTATATATAGGTGTAAATGTTACCGAATAAAAAAGAGCAAATAAAAAAATATAATAGTTCTCATGATTCACATATTTATGATTTAAATCAAGAAAACAAAAACCCTTCTATCAAATACAAAAGAACAAAAATTGTGATTGGGCTCTTAGTTATAAGAGATAAACCTGGACTGTGAAACTATAAACCTAAACTATAAATTCAGGATAATTTTTCTTCAAAGAAACCGAATATGAAACTTGCCTTTAAGAATGTATATAAAAAACATAATCTAAAATTAAACCAACATCGAACCATAAATTGGGCCATTTACCAGATAGAGCATCCAAGATGAAGCCAGATAAGATCGAACTAAGTAATAGATGAGGGAGATAAAGAGCTTACCAAGTCGGTGTGCTTGTAGAATCGAGCGCAAGTTATCGCGCTATTCTTGAAGAGAGCGTAGCTTTAAGGCTTGTAGCTATCTAGCAGAGCAGAGCTTGAGGGGAAACTCAGATCGGAGAAGAGACGATGCAGAGAGGCTTGGCGCGCTGCAGCTTACGAATGGGAGACTAGCACAAGACAGGGCAGGCCCGCCCAGCCCGCACAAATGAGTCGGCTTGGCGTATACCGATGGGTCACTTGAAAACTTGAAACTTGGGGAATTAATAAAGTAAAAGTCGTGTGGTTTAGGTTTGTGCAGAAGAGAAAGAATTAACTGGAACCACAAATTCTTTACTTAAATAAGAAAGTGTCAAAGTTAGTGGGACATCCCAAAAAGAAAAGTTATCAAAGTTTTAAGGGATGGAGATAGTATATTTATCCAAGAGACTTGGGTTATAGTGTAAATCCATTCTGGCCGATAAGCCCGGTCAACTACATTTGGTATCAGTGGCGGCTTTGAGGGCAGTTGGGCCAGGCAACTGCCTTGGGCCTCAACACTGACAAGAGGACCTCCAAAAAATTCTACTCCGATATTAGTATTATGTGTTATTTGTAGACCGTCAATACATCGAGCGATAACTACAAGCAGAAATCGGCTTCATAGTTCACGTCTGACTATCCTTCCTTCATCAAAGTTGTAGCTAATGAAGTCTTCTATCCAACACAACTTGCAAAACTGGATTTGAATCATCCAATCAAAATATATGAATAAAATGGTGGAAGGTCGCATTCTGAAATCTCAACAGAGATTATCTGACTTCATCGTCTGTTTTGACCTTGCTTCTCTCACATTCTCGCATTGGTGTTTTTATATGATTTGTAGCCCTTGAAGTTGGCTTTAATATGAAACTTGAATGGTGTTCTTTGGATGTTCCTAAGAAAATATATGCTTGAACGATTGATAGAACGTCATTCTGACCGCTCTTTTGAAGCCCTATTCGTCTTCTTTTGATCTCGTACCTAATTTTAGAGCTCTTTTGTCTTCAAAACTTTGTCTTCAACACCACACTGACCTCCAATGCTCCTAATCAACTCTCAAATGCTTCTCAACTCGTCCCTATTGATTCTCAAAAGTCGGTGTCAGACTCAAATTCCCTGATTTTGACTCCAAAAATACCAAAACTCGAACCAACGTCCGGTATATATGACTTGAGCTTAAAAATGAGACTTATGAAGTTATTACTGATTTTGCACTTTAAAAGGTATGAATAATAGGCCAATAGGGTGTTACAAGTATAAGTTACTGATTTTTAAATGCATATGTTTGCATTTAAAAATTTATCCTTTTGAATATTACAAACATTATATCGTGAACTTTGAATATGTTTTTTTTCATAAGGTGATTTTTATTCAATTTATCTGATTTTAAAAGTGATTTGTACATAATAAATATTTTTCGTCTGGGGCCTCCGATATGTTCTAGGCGCCTCTGTTTGGTATATATATACGTAGTAGGTTATGCGATCAATTGATCTTGAGAAACGCATTTGTGAATTCACTAGCAAAAGAGGTAACATATATTAACAAACGATAATAATGCATACCTAGTCTATAGATATGCTAAGTGGAATGTACAATAATCATTGCTTAGATCTATTAGGAATATTTTATGGTGTCCAATCTAATTAAATATCATTGTATTTGTGTAGTTATTAATTAAATGTGTAATACGGGCCACAAATGTGTATCTGCCCGTTAGCTTTTTTGTAATCCATAAGTTAGCCAACTTCAATAAAAGGAGGCTAACTTATGGAAACTCTAACGTTCGAGGCTTTAGAGAATAGAGGCTCAGAGATAGAGAGATTAGGTTTTCCGCTGCTCTCTCTCTCTTGAGGGAGAGCAGTGGCACTCTACACGATATACCAGATTCGTTTGTTCATCTCATATCTTTCTATCTGTTTCTTCTTTATCTGCTATGATTGTGTGGTTGTTAGTATATTGAGTCTATCAATTGGTATCAGAACCGAGGCGTGAAACAGGTTGAATGTATTTGCGATTTTTCGCATTTTCCGAAGAACTGCTCTGCTTTTCTTCTATTTTTCTTTAATACAGAGTTTTGCTCCTGTAATCTTGTTTGTGAATGAAAATATGTAAAAATTATACTGTTGGAATCGCATTTCAATACCGATCCGACAACATATCCTCTTTTTTTTATTTCTGCAAATTTTCAATTTCGAAGAACTCTACATGAAATCTTGAGTTTATGCTTTTACATGGCTGCGGAAATGATTTTGACTTGAAACAGATACAGGAGGAATCTCGACCTTCAGGGCTATTCAGAACAGTTTTCAGATTCTCAAAATTTGAAGTTTTCATTTTGCAGGAACTCGACATTTAGGGTCTCGAACTCCTAAACTCGACATTTTTAAAATTGAGAGTTTTAAAATTGTGAGTTTTAAAATTGTGAGTTTTAAAATTGAGAGTTTTAAAATTGAGAGTTTTAAAATTGAGAGTTTTAAAATTGAGAGTTTTAAAATTTAGTGTTTTAAAATTGAGAATTTTAAATTTGAGAGTTTTAAAATTGCGAGTTTTAAAATTGAGAGTTTTGAAACTGCGAGTTTTGAAATTTCGAGTTTTGAAATTTCGAATTTTGGAATCTCGAGTTTTGGAATTTCGAGTTTTAGGAACTTGATGTTTAGAACTTCGACTTTCTGAAAGATTTTGAGATTTTTGGAATTTCTCGATGTTTTGAATATTTCAAAGTTTGCAGTCTTTTGAAACTCAGAATTGTACGAAACTTGACATTTTTCGCAGTTCATCGAAGCTTTACATTATAGGATATCTGAATGAATCTCTGTTTATCAAAGTTTTTAGAAGTTTTCGATGTTCTGATATTTTTCAAACAGCAAGTTTTCGATGTTCTGAGGTTTTCGAAACTCTAAAGTTTTCGAAATTCTAAACATTTTGAAATTCTCAAGATTTCGATATTCTGATGCTTGTTTTGCGAGTGGATTTCGCCATTACTATTCAAGGCAAACTCGAAATTAAAATCTCGAGATTTAAACCTCAAGATTAGGATTTCGAGTTTTTGCCTTAGAATTTTGTTTAATTTCACCTGCTCTCGAAATTCAACATCGAGAACCTCAACCTCGAAGAATTTCCTCAAAAAAAACTCAAAGTTCGAGATTTTTTGCATCATCGCACTGTTTTTGCCATAACTTTTGACTCGGTGATCCGATTTAAGCGAGCTTTTTTTGTTGGAAAGCTAACGAAAAGATCTACATTTATTCTAGGGCTATGCCCCATAACCCATTCTCACGCGCCCTCATGCGCAGTCCTTGAGGGTCAAAACGTTAGTTTTCCGATAAACTTTGTAAATCACCGATGTCCAGGTCAAAACTTAGGCAAATCTGTTCAAATTCTTCCAAAGTCCAACATGAGGTCAAAGCTTTTCTAAACACCACTATAGAGGTCCGAAAATCGTAGATAATTCAATCAACCTCGCGTCAACGGTCATCTTATAACAATCAACAATCAACTAGTGAAGCCTCCCCTAACTCATCAACATTGTGTGATCCTCAAACGTGCTGAATTTCTAAATGATGAGCTTAGGGAAACCGTCATTTGTGGTACCTGTACAGATTGCTCCACACACATGGCGGGTATGACAAACTGTGAGCAATCAAACCTTGCACATTCTGAGGGGGAGTTTCAGTTTTCTCCTTCTGGTGCCTTACACTGACAAAGCAAGGAATCTCTCAACGGATGCAACATTTTAGGGGGAGTGTTCAATGTTATCCTCCCCGGTGCCTAACAATGACAAAGCATATCGAGTGCTCCAGTTGAGGGGGAGTACAGAGAGAAAATCAATGAGAGAACATGTTCTTATGGCTTAGTAACCCCAACTAAACCTACCCAAGGGACAAAGTCGAGAGTAAGTGAGTAAGTGAGTGAGTGAGTGAACATTATGAGCGTTAGGAAGCAAAAGGCTCAAGTGAGCAAGAAAACAATAATCAATGATAAGTCTGTTACCTCAACTGCCTACTATCCGTTGAACATTTACTCCTAGCCACTCAAATACTCTGGATAATTCCCAAATAGGTTCAGGACTGATTTAATCAGATCCCAGGTAGAAGCCACTGCATCTTGTCCAACAGTGCATAATTGAACCCTACCCAAGACCACTCACTTGTCTCCCAACAGACAGGTGTTTAATCATGCTTCACGGGGAACCGCATCTCTCATTACTGCCTCCTTCCGAGGCAAGTGATACTGACTACAGTGGCCTCAACCCCATGCCACTGAACTTTCATTGATCACGTCATGTCTAGTTAGTCACTCCCAAATGTTTTGAAATTTTCTAGGACACAGACGCACTTTTAGAGTCAGTTGCAGGTTTTCATGACCTGCGAGAACTTCCATAGGGCTCATCCATTACAGATGTAGACCAACGGTTGGAAGGAAGTCCTGCTGTTGCAACATAAGAATCACCATCATTTTCAGGCCATCGCTTTAGAGTTTATCTCTATAGTGATGATAACGGGCATCTACACGACCCTCGGGGGGGGGGGGGGTTACGTTATCTTTGCTGACCTTTATGGTCATGCCATAACAACTAGAGTGACATCTTTTCGGATGCTTCACAATGACTGGTTGGAAGTCCTGTTAGAGCTTAATAATGCTTCTATCATTATATACAGGCCACACATCGATGTTTACATTGATGTTGTGTTAACGGAACACATCAGTCTACCCGGTTTTTGCATTTCAACATTCTGCTTGTTTTTCCTGTTTTATTTCCGCAGAATAAAAGAATAAAGGCATGACACCCTGATTCATCGGACTGTCATGAGGGGGAGAGTGTTCCACATGCTGTTTAACTCTCAAAAATCATTCTTGGATACTTCTCTCTTCCAACACCTTCTCTACTATCTCTATCAAAAGCTCCAAATGGTCAGCTACGCTCACAAGTCAACCATCATTTTCCGTTGTGCCACCGACAAGGTCTCCTCAAACGCATTCACTTTGAATAGTCCAAAAGACTACATTGTGGATAGGACAAAGGTCAGATACTCAAACTGTTGAAGATGAATTCCATGGGCGTCTCCTATTCTCCAAAGAATACTCATTCTAGAGGCGTCACCGGACTTTATCCAAGCTGATCAAGAGCAACTTGTGGAAGGCGATGACTACATGCAAGATACTGAAGATCTCTCAACCCCCAGCATCAAAGATCAAATTGCCAAGAAGACATCAAAGGGGAGATTGCAAGGACTTCTTCAGAAAGCCT